GAAACATTATATCTTTAAGTGTTTCATTGACTACCTCAAAACAATTCCTATGATCCATTGAAGCTTCATCTTATATGATTAATTTAGTTTGTTTAATCAATTCAACTAATTGATTATTCTTACTAATGTTTTGCATTGAGTGTTCTTTGACATTTAATGGGATCTTAAATCTAGAGTGTGCAATTGTTCCTTTTGGCATTAACAATGTTGCTATATTAAATGAAGCAAAACAAATTACTACTCTTCCATGTGATTGAACAATATTAAAAGCAAATTTTCCACAAATGTGTCTTTCTTGCCTTACCCTGACCATAAATAAAGAAAAATTTACCTTTGTTATTGTTGATGGAAGGCATAATAACTGATGTAAATCCAGATTTGACTTTAAAGGATTCAATTCAAGTTCCCGTTGGACCAGTTACGAGGGCTCGAGCTAAGAAGTTCAAGAAAGTGCTTAACAGGCTGATTTGAGAAATATGGACTCAAGCAAATTCATGGAGGCCCATTGTGAGGGAAGTCCATGTGAGCCTTAGAATTACATCAGCCTAATCCAAGTTCTAGAAGACTTTATCAAAGCCAAGCCTAATCTTTGCAAGTAATGGTCATGAACTTTGGGTGTGAACTCAACAAGCATTCTGACTCAAATTTGTTACTTTCCTTTTTGGGTTTTGGCTTGCATGCCAAGTTTTTCTTTCTTGGGTTGAATTACATAGTTTGCGTCAAATCTACGGCAGTTGGCTGCAAACTAATATTTCATAATGTTCTTAGGTTATTTTAGCTTATTTTTACATTTGTTGTGTTATTTGGGCTAAACATTCATTTAGTTGAAGCCTAAATTCATAGTTATTAGGGTTAGGACTTGGTTTGTTAGTTTCCTATTCTGATTAGGATTAGTTTGAAATATTTATAGGGCTGCAACCCTAATTGTAAAACAGATCATTATTCATCAACATTATGAGAATGAATTCTCTTTGGTTTTTTGAACAACTTTTCAAAATTATCAGAATTAGCCATGGCATTCATCCTCGACTTATCAATCAATCTTTCCATAGTTGATTATGGCATCTTCTCCATACCAAGGTTCTTATCTCGTCATAGGTAACGGGTCACGGTTCCATCCTCTAGAATTTGTCTTAGAAACGGTCTTGGTGCCTTGTCTTGTTTACGGGTTTCGTCACAAGTTGGCGTAGTTCGTATTAGTTTGGTATCAGAGCACAGGCTCTAAATCAGGTTTGCGTATCTTTAACTTTCAGTTTTTTTTTTTAATTATCAAAAAGAAAAAAAAAATCAGCGTCGTTCTTGCCCTTCTTGATTGCAACTCTATTTGTGTTGCTTTTCTAAATTTGTGTTGCTGGTTTACAAAAGAAATTGAAAAGCACAAAAATAAGACCAGAAAAGGAAGAAGTTGTACAGAAAAAAAGGAAAAAGAAAGAAAAAAAAATAAAGGAGAACATGAAAGTAAGTAACACAATTCTGTGGTTGGAATTCCTTATATAGAGAAGAAATCTATGGTCAAATCCTTAAAGAAGAAGGAATCCCACTCCAATAAGGAGTTGGAAGAAGGAATCCTACTACAACAAGGAGTTGGAAGAAGGAATCCTACTACAACAAGGAGTTGGCAGAAGGAATCCTACTACAACAAGGAGTTGGCAGAAGGAATCCTACTACAACAAGGAGTTGAAAATTCTCCTTGAGTTATATTCAAATTAGGAGATAGCAGTTTTGTTTGTTTCCTTAGTTAGGAATCCTACTGTAAGGATTTGTTAATCCAATTCCTACTAGGAATAGTCAAATTGATCTGTCTTTCTTGCTTATTTTATTTTATTTTATTTTTTCATTCCATTATTCTAATATCCAGGAGTCCTAATCTAATTTTACCCCAAAGTGCAAAATTTTGTCCAAAATTTTCGTGTTTTCCCTGAATCCCAAAATCTAGTTGGTACATGTTCATAGCCGTCTTCCTTTTAAAACTTGAATTTTGGTTGGTAAGTTTTTGGTGAATTGCTATTGGGAATTTTGAATATTGTTTGATTAGTTTGAAAAGAACTGAAAGAGAATTCACAAGTGAAAAAAAGGCAAGAGTGGTGAGCATATTAGATGGTAAAAGCCAATTCAGTGAAACACGAGCAAAATTAAGTGGTACATATTTTTTTGAGTGAAACACGTGAGGGAGTGTGGTGAGGTCCTTTCCATATTATTTCTAACCCCATTTTGTAGATTACAAGCATATCACATAACCAATAAGAAAACTCAAGTGAAGAACTTCCACAACAAACCCTTCCAAACCTACAGGTGCAGGCGATATTGGGAGAGGTGCGATGGATGGTGAATAGATTAATTGAACCCATGCAAGAGCAATTGGAAATGTTGCAATTGGAAAATATGAGGTAGTAATGAAATTCTGCCGCTCGACCACCATCTAGGCAGATGTAGCAAAGAGAACATTGGGGTGACATAGAAGAAGAAGAGGAGTTGGAAGAGTTGAATGAGCCACCATTGAACCGGGGTAGGTTTAGGCATAGGAATAGGAATAGAGAAGTTAGGAATTGGGAGGACAATAGTTTGGGCAGCATCAAGATGAAGATTCTGCCATTCCAGGGAAAAGCAGATCTAGAAGCCTATCTTGAATGGGAAAGGAAGGTGGAGTTGGTCTTTGATTGCCACAATTATTCTGAGCTTAAAAAGGTGAGACTGGCAACCATTGAATTTTCTAATTATGCTCTTGTTTGGTGGGATCCGTTGGTGATGAATTGGCATCGGAACCAGGAACATCCAATTGAAACATGGGAAGAGATGAAGGCAGTGATGAGGAAGTGATTTGTGCCCAACTAGTATTACTGGGAATTGTACAAAAAGTTGTAAGGGCTTACGTAAGGACATCGGAGTGTGGAAGCGTATTATCAAGAGATGGAGAAAGCCATGATTAGAGCCAATGTAGAAGAAGACCGACAGGCAACCATGGCGAGATTCTTGCAAGGATTGAATCCAAACATCCATGATCGGGTAGAGATGTAACATTATGTGGAGCTAGAAGACATGGTGCACATGGCCATCATCGTAGAGCGATAACTCAAGAAGAGGAGAGGTACACGTGCTGGCCATAACCTAGGGTCTAATCCTTGGAAGCCAAGTTCTTCTAGAAAAGAGGACAAGCCACAAATGTCCTCAACTCTCAAGCACCAATCTGAGCATAAGATTGAGAACACCAACCACGAATCTCAAGGTAAAATCAACACTTCTACCACTTGAAATCATAATATTAAGTGCTTTAAATGTCAAGGCAGGGGTCACATAGTGAGTCAATGTCCAAACAAGCGAGTTATGGTGATGCGAGACAGTGGTGAAATTGTGACCGAAGACAAGGATTTTGACACCAATGAAATGCCACGATTGGAGGGCGCCTATGAGGAGTTTGCTGTTCATGGAGATTTGTTGGTGGCAAGGAGGGCTTTAAGTGTGTAAGCAAAGGATGTGGATGAACTGCAGTCAGAGAACATCTTTCACATTAGGTGCTATGTCAAAAATAAGGTATGTAGTGTGATTATTGATGGTGGTAGTTGTACTAATGTTGCTAGCACAACCATGGTGGAAAAATTAGGATTGCCCACGTTGAGACACCTTACTTCGCACAAGTTGCAATGGTTGAATGATAGTGGCGAGGTAAAGGTAAACAAAAAGGTGTTAGTTGCATTTCAGATCAGAAAATATGAAGATGAAGTACTTTGTGATGTTGTTCCAATGCATGCTGGGCACTTGTTGTTAGGGCAACCATGGCAGTTTGATTGATGTAAGCATGATGGGTTTACCAACAAATACTCTTTGGTACTCAATCAACGTCCAATCACTCATGTACCTTTGACACCCCAATAGGTGTATGAGGATCAAGTGAGGCTTAAAAAAGAGAGAGATCAAAAAGAAGAGAATGAGCAAAAAAGAGAGTGAGAGAAAAGATAGAAGTGGAAATTCGAGAGAAAAAGAGAGAGATGCAAAAAAAATTGAGAGAGAAAAAAAGAAAGCAGATTCAGCTTTAGTGAGTTTAAGAGAGGAACAACATTGTTTCATTGCAAAAAAAAGTGAGATCAAGAGAACTTTACATTTATAACAGCCCCTTATAGTACTTCTGTACAAAAAGGCATTTTTGTGCAGTGATGTTCTTGTCGAAAATTTGCTAAGTAGTGTTATCTCTCTTTTACAAGATTACAAAAATGTATTTCCTGAAGAAAAGCCACCTGGATTACCTCCAATACGAGGGATTGAACAACAAATTGATTTTGTACCTAGTGCGACAATTCCAAACCAACCAACCTATAGGAGCAACCCCGAGGAGACAAAGGGGCTTTAGAGGCAGGTAAGTGAATTAATGAAGAAGGGGTACATGAGGGAAAGCGTGAGCCCATGTGTTGTTCGTGTTCTACTTATGCCTAAGACAGATGGGACTTGGAAGATGTGCGTTGATTGTCGAGCCATCAACAGCGTTACGGTAAAGTATCGACATCCTATTCCTCACTTAGATGACATGTTAGATGAGTTGCATGGTGCTTGTGTGTTTTCAAAAATTGATTTGAAAAGTGGCTATCATCAAATT